CATAATAGAAACAAATATTGTGAAATCAGGAAAAAACAAATATAGGTAAATGTGTATTTTAAATAACTATACAACTACTTAACAACAAAAAAGGGATTTGATAACAGAGAAATTTATATCATGCTTCTGAGTGGGAAGATTCAATATTATAAAAAGGACAATTTTCTCCTAATTGATCTCTAAATTTGATATTGTTCTAATATAAAAAGCTCAATAGGAAAGGTATAAAACTATAAAAATCTTAGAAGAAAACATAAGGGGAAATCTTCATGACATTTGATTTGACAATGAATTCTTGCCAAAAGCACAGGCAACAAATATAAAAATAGATAATTTGTGCTGAATCAAAATCAAAAACTTCTGTGCATCAAAAGACACAATGAGCAGGATGAAAAGGCAACCTACAGAATGGGATAAAATATTCACAAATCATATCTCTGATAAGGGATTAATGGAAGCCATGGTTACATAAGGAGTCGCTGTGACTTTTTTATAACTCATGGCATTTATTGTTTCTACAAAATATAAAATATTTATTACAAAATTAGATCTTAAATAATTCAAACAATGTGTAAGTAAATGCAGTTGGAAGTTAAAGTTCCCTGGAATATTGAGTCTCAGATATAATAATTATTAACAACATAGTATAAATACTTACAGACTTTCCAAGCACATACAAAAAAATATTACATGTAATTTAATGCACTTATATGATGTTGGTTTGTACTATATATAGTGTTCTTTAACCTGTGAATACTACCAAAATTTCCAGAGGCCAGTAAAACCTAACATAAAAAGATCAATTTGCATTTGTATAGCAAGGAATTTATACAGAAACTTGCATTCATATTGTTATAAGATCTTCATTACAGTCCTATAAATAGGAACTAGCTTCCTCTTGTTGAAAATGGGAAACAGAGGGTAAATTACTTGTCAAAACTTATGCAGACAATAAATAGTCAGGACAATTACAAAGATAAATTGTAAGGTTCATCAGAGAAAAACCATATATTATAATTCCTGTTTTATATCATTCACAATACCTGGCACAATATTATAAGAAACATAGGGGTATGATGAATGCTTATATTGTTTTCTGCTGTAACCTACATACTACAAATAGTCAATAAATATTTGTGGTACAAATGGATGAGGGAATGCATAAAATAGGGAGATGTGGGAGGATTATAAGTGAATTGAGATTCTTCTCAAACCATCACTTTTTTTTTAACCTGTAGGATAAATAATATATTCAACCATCCTGGAAGCACAATGTAAAATTGAAAACACACTTGACATGAGTGATTTCAGTAATAACCGATATCCTCTTTAACAAAGAAATGCTACAGTGAAAAATAATTGGACAATAGACAATGTACAAGTTTGCCTTACTGTAAGTGGGACCTCTTCAAAGAAGTATCTTTCAATATCATAGAGAAGTATTCAAATAAGTTATAGATCAAACATCATAGGCAAACGGGCAAATTAATCTGTTGAAACTCAATTTTCTTAAGGTCAAGTGAAACTATTTCATAGGATTGTGGTGAAATTAAAGTGAGATAAGAACAGCAAAGTGCCCATCACTGTACCTGGCATATGCTAGAGCCTCAATAAATGGTAGATATTATTGTTAACATTATTATTATCATTATCATAGTACTTTGCTAAAATACAAGAAATGGACCCTTTCCAATGTCAAAGTCTGTAACTTTATAAGTTCTAAAAATGACTGCATAAAAATAGGTTTTTATCAAATGAATGCTTGATAGTAAAGCAAAAATGCATTGTCCTGTATATGCCTTTATCTGCCTGGATACAACCAACAGGCACCTGCTCCGTGAATGAGTACATAATCGATAAAACATCCACAAACTTAATTTCCATAGCCTATGTATTAGTGTCCTTTAGCCCCCACAACAAATCACCAGAAACTTAGCAGCTAAACACAACAATAATTTATTCTCTAGCAGTTACTGCGATCAGAGGTCTAAAAGGAGTTTTAAAGGGCTAAAGTCAAGGTGTCTGCAGGACTGGCTACTGCCAAGGGTTCTAGGGGAGAAAGAATTTCCTGCCTTTTCCATATTTCAGAGACCACCTGCATGCCTGGCTCCCAGCTCCTTCCTCCATCTGCAAAGCCAGCAACACATTTGAAAATTTCTCTCTGCTTTCCTCATCATTTCACCTCCGATTATTATAAGGACCCTGATGATTACTTTAGGTCCACCTACACCATCCAGGAGAATCTTCCCATCTCAACGTCTTCATATTAATCACATCTGCAAAATCCCTTTTGCTAACATATTCACAGGTTCTTGAAACTTTAACACTAGACATTTATGGAGAGAGGGGGAAAGGCATTATTCTCTCTCTTGTGGTCCATTCTCTGTCCCCCAAAGATTCACATCCATCCACATGTAAAATCCATTCACCCATCTCAACATCCCCCAGGGTTGAGGATATTGAGATGACAACATCAACTTAAACTCAAATTCTCATCTAGATTTCATCAACTAAGAAGTCTAAAATCTCATCATCTAAATCAGGGTGAAACTCTAGCTTATCCTGAGATACAATTCCCTTCATCTGTGGATCTTTGAAACTAGAAATCAAGTTATTTGCTTCCAAAACACAATGGTAGGCACATGATAACAATTATAGATACTCCCATTCAAAAAGGGAGAAATAAAAGGGACAAAGGGACTCAACAGTCAGGAGAAATTTAGAGCACCAATTGCACAAACCCCTTTAGGTTTCAGGCCTGGGAATAACTCTTTGTAGTTCTCAGCTCCATCCTCTGGGCCCTCAGCTCTGTCCTCTGAGTCTTACTTCCTAGTTCATAAAGGTTAATAGATATTTGCACCTGAATAGTTTTATAAACCTGTTTCTTGCCTGTAAGAATCTGTTCCTTTAGAAATCTAATAGCCTTCTTTCATTTTGTCTTTTTCCTGTTCCTTTCGTTCCTAGCTGGCAGTGTCTCTACTGATAGACCACATTCGAAAATCTTAGGGGTACCCCATGCATGCCACAAGTCTTCACTCCAGTAAACAAGAGGCTCCTCCACAGATCTTGCCTGGTTAACCCCAACCCCAGACTGTGCTAAAATGCATGAAGAGATCTATGGACATACTCCTAATCTCTCCAAAGAACCCTCTATGTGATTGAGTAATGTTGATGCTACTGAGGCACTAGAAAAAAGTCATCTGGCCACATTTTGGTATTCTTCTCCAGAGCACACTTTCTTGACAGTTAATCTACAAATTTTAACATCCTTTTTCAACCTCAATAGGTTGAAAAAATCCTAAATCTTCGAGTGCGTGTTCCTTTTTGTTCAAAAGTTGTTCATTCAATTTATCTTTCTTCTCATGTTTTGCTATAGGTAACAAAAAGAACCAGACCTCACCTTCAAAATTTTGCTCGGAAATCTACTGAGCTAAATGTCCAAATTCATCACTTACTTAGCACTGCTTCCTATGTAACTATGGAACACAATTTTGTTAGGCTTTCTACTATTACATAACAAGTATCTCCTTTCCTCCAGTTTTCAATAACACATTCCCCATTTATTTTTCAGTCCTTACCAGAAGCATCTTTAACATTCATGTCTACCAACCATTCTATGATGGTTTAGCTGCCCTTTAAGATACTATAGAGCCTCTATCATTCTCCTCACTTTCTCTGAACCTTCACAGCAATGCCTTAAATATCCATGTTTTTACAAACGTTCTGTTATGACAGTTTAGGTATTCTCTAAGACAAAATAGTTTGTCTCTACCGTATCAGCTCTGTCTGATCCCTTCCTGGCATAATCTTTAAGAGGCAGTCCAGTCTTCTACCATGCTCCTAAAAAATCCTCCTATCCTCTACCCACTGCACAATTCCAAAGCAACGTCCACATTTGAATGGTTATGTTACAGCAGCATCCCACTTCCTGGTGCCAACATCTGTATTTGTTTCCCAGGGCTGCTCTAACAGATGACCACGAACCTATTAGCTTAAAACAACACAACTTTGTTCTCTTACAGTTCTGCACATCAAAAGTTCAAAATGATTCTCACTGGGTTAAAATCAAGGTGTTGGCAGGATTGGTCCCTTCTGGAGATCCTAGGAAAGAATCTGTTTCCTGTTTTTCAGCCAACTCCATCCCCATTCCTTGGTTTGGGGCTGCATCTTTTCAGCCTCTGCTTCTACCATCCCGCGTCCTTCTCTGACTTTGACCCCCCCGCTTTTCTCTTGTAAGGGCCATAATGTTTAAATTGAGTCCTCCTGGATAATCCAGGACATCTCCCCATCTCAGGACATTTAACTTAATCACCTCTATAAAATCCCTTTGCCATGAAAGGTCACCTATTCACAGGTTGTAAAGATGAAGATGGGGACATTTTTGAGGGGGATTTATCTGCCTACCACAGCCACGTTCATTATTAACTGAGTTCTGTCTAAAATATCTAACCCATCCTTTCAATTACATAGTTTTGAGCACTGTCCTCATTGACTGCCTAGCTTATTAAATTACCATTTTTATCATTTCCACATTTCATATGTTGGGTTTTTTGAAAGTTTCAGCAAGAAGAGTTTCAGCAATAACATAAGACTATGCAGTGAATCAGAGTTCCCAAAGCTGTTAATATATGAATAATCCCTTGACTCATAATTACTGTTTAGAGCATTTAAACCCCTATCACAAAACCATAATTATTCTGAAGTTGAAAGATACCTAAAGAATCTCAATTTTAAGGATGATGAAAATAGGACCTAGGGAGGTTAAATGATTTACCCAAGGACTTACACTCTCATGCAGAGGAGAGGGAGCATACACGCGTATTAAGCCCATCCAATGACTAACTGTATAGAAATCTGTTCTAAGAGCAAGCATACAGAAAGCTGATGAATTTACATAGAAAGAATTTCTTAATCTCAGGTTGAAGTAGACTTTTATGTAGCCACCTGCATTTCTTAAGTGTTGAGTCAAATACTAATAAGGTAGTTTTCTAAACAGCGAGATGAATTCAGGTAAGATTCATGAATACAGAGACATACTTGCCTAGAATACTGCACATGATGGCCATCAAGCCAATAGCAGAGGTTCTACTGTTGTTGGTCTAATGACTAGATTGGGGAAAAATTCTGAAAGTCCATAGGCCCTACATGTAAAATAGTTTCTGGTTTCCCTGGCTACAAGGCAATTAACTCAGTGCTTTAATGGAAACTTGACATAAATATCTGGTAATAAATGTGTATGGAATAAGAGTGCTTTTAAGCACATTGGTAATCATCAGTTCATTTTTTAAATAGCACCTAAATTAAATTATACTGTGCCCAATGCTACCTATTTCTTTCAAAAAAAGAAAAAGAAACAGAAACAGAACTACTTGAAAGCTTTTATAATGTTACTCTGATTAAAATGTTAATTTTTCTGCTAAGTACTGGATAAGTAATATAGACATAAAGTGGAAATTAAGTTAAAGGACTTAAAACAGGCTGGTATGAATTACCATTGATGTGTGAATAAACCTTACAATAAATAAAGAAAAAATACTCAAATTACCATAAATAACTAGGTATTTTAATATGAAGGGGAAAAAAACGTTTGTTTTTTTTTCAAACTAAAGACTCAACTAAACAAACTATAGAACAAACTAAAGACTCAAAAACTGTAACATTAGGCTGACGTTAGAAGGTAGCATGAGAGGTTCCCTCGTCTCTCCCCTTCGAGTTGCAAAAGTGGAACAGCTGTAATTCAACAAAGGATTCCCTGCTTGACACATGAACATGGCCGAAAGATCTGTGTGCACTGAAGCAGCTGAATGTTGGCGAGTCAGAGGGAATGGGGGGGGCGGGGGGAGGTAGAGGAGCAGAGGTGGGTGTGCAGGTACTAAACTTATGAACCTTCGGAGTATTTTATGAATTTGACCTCAAGGGCAAGGGAAGTAAAAGCAAAATAAATGAATGGGACTCTATCAAACTAAAAATGTTCTGCATAGCAAAAGAAACTGTAAAAAAAAACCCAAAAAAGTCAACCAACTGAATGGGAGAAGATATTTGCAAATAACCTTGGACAAGGGAGTTCATATTCAAAATATATAAAACTCATATAACTTAACAACAAATAAACCAAACAATCTAATTAAAAAATGGGCAGAGGACCTGAACAGACACTCCTCCCTAGAAGACAAACAAATGACTAACAGATATATGAAAAGATGCTCAACTTCACTAGCTATTAGGGAAATGCAAATCAAAACCATAATGAGATATCACCTCACATCTGTTAGAGTGACTATTATCAGCAAGACAAGTAAAAATAAGTGTTGGAGAGATTACAGAGAGGAAAGAATCCTCATTCAGTGCTGGTGGGAATGTAAACTGGTACAGCCACTATGGAAGACAGCATAGAGGTTCTTCAAAAAATTAAGAATAGAGTTACCATATGACCCAGTACCCCCTCTTTTGGGTATCTATCTAAATAATTTGAAAACATTTAGGCATAAAAATATATGTACCCTCCATAGGTTCCAAACCCAGCAGGGGCCAAGACCTAGGAGCATGCAGTTCCCTGAGGGGTCTTCTGGCCCAGTTTCCAGTGAATGAAGTTCTGTTGACAACTCAAACCCCTATGTTCATTGCAGCATTACTCATGGGGACCAGGACATGGAAACAACCAAAGTGCGATAGATATTTGGATAAAGAAGACAGGGTACATATATACAGTGGAATCCTACTCAGCCATCAGAAAAGAGGAAATACTGTCACTTGTGAAAACACAGAGAGATCTTGAGAATATCATGCTAAGCAACATAAGTCAGACAGAAAAAATTGAGAACCAGGTGACTTCACTTATATGTGAGGTATAAAAACAAAAGCAACAAGTGTACAAATGAGACAAACACAAACTCGTAGACACAGACAACAGTATGGTGATTACTAGAGGGCAATGTGGTAGGAGGGGAGTTAGTAAAACATCAAAGGAGTCAACTATGTGGTGATGATGGGGATTTGATTTTGGGAGTGAACATACATTATACAATATACCAATGATAATTATAGAATTGTACATTCTAAACTTATCTATTTTATTAACCAATGTCACCACAATAAATTTAATTTAAAATAATGGCTTTATATAGGTGTGTGTTGGGTATCTTATTGTGTCAATAAAGATATTTTAATCTTATTGAATTGATAATATTTATAATAGTCAGCAAAATTTCTCAGACCTTTTTTTTAACGTACAGTTTGAAAGTGAGTAAAGATTAGAAGATAGCTCTGATGTTCAAGGCTCTTTCCTCTATGGAACATTTACACAATAGAATTCCTCTCAGCTGTAAAAAAAAAAAGAAGAATTTTACCCTTTGCAACAGCACAGATGGAACTGGAGAACATTGTGCTAAGTGAAATAAGCCAGTCAGAGAAAGATAAATACCATGTGATTTCATTCATGTGGACTCTAATGAACAAATTGAACTAACAAGTAAAATGGAGATAGACTCATAGATAGAGAGCAGGATGGCAGCTATTGGGGAAGGGAGGGTTCTGTCGCACCCTGACATCAATGAGAACAGGAGAGCCACACACCCTCGGCAAGGCACAGTCTGGTGCAGGACCAATTGTCTTCTCTAACCCTGAAAACCAGTTGCTAACCCTGAAAACCAGTTGCTAACCAGTGCCCCCAACCTGTCCTCAGTCACTCAGAGACAAAATAAGCCTGCAGAAGGCCACCGCTAGCCCACCTTCTAGAGAGCCATAGGAAACAGGACGCTCAGCGAGATGTGGTGAGGAAGGTGTGGAGGAGCCCCTGGGAGCTGTCTTGATAAAAGAGAGCCAGGGAGAGCCCATCCCTGCTACTGTATAACACAGCCAAAAGCGGCCCTGCAGGGGACCTGTCTAATACCTCCATGGGGAAACTGCAGGGACAGTTATACAAGGTGGAGCATATACTATGTTCAAGTACACACCGATGTTTGACAGCGACTTCATACATTTTAGTGAAAGAGAAGGGATTCATGTGCACGAGGGTGTCCAAATGGAGATGGTGGGTATCATTCGTACCAGCCCCTACCTCGCACTACCTGATGCCAAGCTGCTCGCCACCCAGAAGAGAGGTAGCAAGCCTACACAGATCTTAGAGTGAGTGAGGCTGCTCCCCTCGATGTTTGTGAAGGTATCCATCCACAAAATCAAAATGACAACAGCTCCACCTGAAGCTTGCCATAGGTCACTCTTTCCTTCAGCTGTGTCCTCATTCAGATATAAGAGGTCTTTTGGCTCCCTGGGAAGACCTCGTTTACATGTTAAAACCTCCAGTGGAGGTTCACAGCAGTTCCTACACCATTCCAGCAGATGTCACACTGGACATACTTTGAGGAAGAAACTGCCCAGAGGTCGTTGCAGTCCCTTATGGGGCTAGGGTGGTTTGGGAGACCAGCTAAAGTTCCTGCAGAGTTTTTTGTACTGAGGCCGATTTAAAAATGCATTCTATTGGGAAGTGTTCAAGGCTAACTGAGCCTCTGTTTGGAGGCCATGCCACATTGGCTAGGTTCCTAATGTTTTTCCAAAGTGTCCCCCAAGGCTATATGTCAGAGATTTCTCAGCTGTCAGCAACTCTTAATTTCATATTCCACATTGCATTGCCACTGCAGAACATATACGACTCTAACCAGGCAGGCTGATGTGCTGTGGGATGTAAGGTCTATCCATAACTGCCTTGTTCTGACAGTTGTATGCATCAGTGGCGGTGTGGTGTGCTTGTGAGCATGTGCACAATTTGTCAGTAGCTAAAAAATATTCAAGTGCATGCCACTTTACCAACAGAAAGACTAACACAAGTGTATTTTTAAAAGTATGTGAGGATATTCCCTGGTGAATTATAATAGTGCTTTCTCTGGTAATAGAAGGGTTCAAGCAAAGCTGGAATGATTATTGCAGTCATTGTGGAGACGCTGTAGAGGGGATTCCTTCAGCAAATGGGAGATTGGATTTGTGACTCCAAAATTCTTACTATAAGCTCTTGTGTAGCTGTAGGAAAAGAAGGGGACAGACCTCTCTGGTCTCACTTTATTTCACTTATTTGTCTTCCTCTAGGCAAATGCCTTTCATTGCTGGGAAGGCATCAGGAACCTTCACACGAACCCTTAAGAGTTTGGGACCATCTAGTGTGGTTACGCTGGGAGGAATGAATTCAATGTATGCCTCCCACATAATATGGCATTCAAGACTTCCCATTCTTCGGTCACAAAGCCCACAGTGCCTGATGAAATGGCAGGACTGGTGGCAGCAGCTGGGTAACAAGAGACAGTACCACCGGTGCCAGGGATGTGGCTGCGGCCAGTCTGCACTAACAGGCGCGGCCTTCACAGATCCAAAAGAAGCACAGCCGGCATGGCCAACATGGGTGCTTTCAGCTCTTCCTGTCTTTAGAGGGTACTTCCAGCACGTCGGTGGGAGCTGCTGGCCTCTCCCCAAGGGGCGGTGTGAGTATGGTGACTGCAGGGGCAGACCGGACTAGCAAGAACTTTGGGTTCTGAACTATTTTTATCTGTCCCTTAATTTGATATTTGTAATTAAATAACAGATGACAAAAAAAGTGCTAGAGACTGCTTACTCTCAAAGAGCCTCATTCATTTATGATCTATATCTATTAGCCAAATATAACCCTAAAAATTCCAAAATACATACCCAGGGATAGAAGCAACCAATAGGAAGCAGAATGATGTAAAAGAAGCCAGGCAAGCAACATGACATAATAGATTTTTTACTACTTTAATATTCTGGCCTTGAATAGATCACCTGTTCCCTTTTCTAAATGATTGCTTTGAGACTTAGACATGATACACGTGAAATATCTGGCACGTAACAGGCATTGAGGAAATGTCGGTGATTATCATTGTCAGGAATGTTGAAAAGCAAATTTGAGTTTAATTATACTTTCTAGAAAGGCCTTCATTCTCCCAGTCTCTTCATTCCTGAATTCTCCTCTAATTCTTTGCCCAACTTAAATCTTACTTAACTGTTTTGAAATTAAATTAAGTTTTCAACATATTCTATTAATTTTAATCTCCTGATGTTACTTAGAATTCTAAATTTTCATGGACTTAAAATGAATTGTTTCCTGTAAGAACTTCAATAATCCAGTCACAGTGGAAGTACAAAATGCCATATAAAAACTAGAAAAACATAAAAAGTTAGATAAAACCTGAATGTAAGATCAATTCAGTATCTAAACAAAAACTAGAAATTAAATTGTGGAAGTATAAGATAATTGCAAGGGAAAAAAAATCTATTTAACAGTCTAGAAGTGATATATCACATAGTTTTCCAGCCCAGAACCAGGATATATAGGTTACCTGGCTCTCAATTAAGTCTGTATTTCCATAATCCTTATGCTTCTAAACCTTAGCACTGTGCTTTGAATATAGAAAATATTTGACACATGTTTGCTGGATCCAATTAAATTAAGAGTTATAAATGTGAAATAAGTATAATTTATTCCACTCCAGCAGATCTGAGTATACAGAAATTTGCATAGCACTGCACTAATTCCACTCCTCCCCAAGTCTCCTGTACCAAACTATACGGCAGGGCTGTTTTAGGAGGCCCAACATGCAGAGTGCTTATGGCTTCAATGATTATTAATGGCCTCACAAAACATTTCAGATCTGAAAAAAATTACTTCAAAATCAAATTTTCTTGAAATTTCATAAATAACAAAATCAGATAATCTTGAGTTCAAAGCTCTTAAAAGTTGTAGGAATTACAACTTTTAAATTCCTTTTAAATTACTTCAAAAGCAAATTTTCTTGAAATTTCATAAATATCAAAATCTAGAAAATCCTGAGTTCAAAGCTCTTAAAAGTTGTAGGATAAATCTACGTTTGATACCACCGCTCCATGTCATAACAAATGCATTAAACTATATTAAAGGAATTAACCATTAATTTGATTGTAAAATATAAAAATATATTTATAATTTTGCACCAGCACACATTAAAACAATTTTGTTATACCTATATATACATGCATATATAAACACACACAAATGCTAAAAGAAAACCCATCAACAAATTGTGAACATTAGTAAAAGAGGACTAGATGGGAATATTGGTAAAACATCCTAATCTTATTTGTCAGAGTAAGTACAGTAAAAAAAATAAAAAAGGATACTGCATCTCAAGTAAATTTACAGATCTAATGCATTAACAATTAAATCCCAATAAGGAATCTTTTTAAATTTCACATAGTGATTATAAAATATAAATTTTTAAAAGCAAACAATCATGTCAGCTAATAGTTTTAATGCAACTATGATTTCTCCCATCACATATTATATATAAAAATATCATAACTGAGTCACTTGGTTTTAAAAATAGGAAAATGGAAACAAGGTATTTCAGGAGGAAACACAAACCAAACTGGATGAAATGTAATGAGAAATGTGTTATTGTCAAATGGAAAGTCATAAAAAAACCCAGATATCAACAACTAAAACACAAATAGAGAGCCATATCTGGAATTTGTTAAAAGGAATTCTAGATGAGATGAATTTAAAAAAAAACTGAGAAGTTTAATGAATTTGATAATTTAAAAAACTACACAACATACACTTATACATACACACATACAAATTAAGAGAATAAAAAGCTGCAGACTGGGAAGCGTTTTGTGGCAAATATAAGTACTTAAATATTAATACACAGCATTTATTGAAGCAATACTAGTCTTCACAGAAAAATGGCCAAAGGTTTTTAAACTAAAAGTTACTACCAAGCCTAATAAAATAAAATAAATTAAAATAAAAATTAAGTTTTAGTAAAGTGGAGAAGAACCAAATACAGTCATATATTTTTGATTGCTTACAGCCCTAATACTTTCCAAGAATTCTATTGTTTAAAATATAAAATACAAAAAAATTAATTTATGAAACAAGAAAATATAGGTAAAGGCATTCAATTATCAGTAAACTTTTAATCGGACAAGGGTATGCTAATAAGATAAAATCTATGTTTCTTAATATCCTTTCTCCTATACCCTTAAAGATATGAGGTAAAACTCTACATGTAAAAATCATAAGTGAAAAAATGAAACCCCAGAATGAATACATTTATTCACTGCTTAATTCAACAATTGCTCAATTCTGACAATATACCAGGAACTATGTTGGCATTAGACCACGGATGGTGAGCAATACACAGTTTCTACCTTCATGGGACTCACAGTCAAGTATATATTGATAACAGTTGTGTAAGGTTAGGATAAACTGTCCTGAGGTCCTATAAACAGTTCAACATTAAGGGGAAAAGATTCTTCAAGTACTATATACTGATCTGATTATTCTATTTAGCTCTCCAAAATAAATTAATATTGGAATTTGAGTGGATATCATCAAGTTGTCTGTGGTATAGACATGAAAAATACGATAAGTTTCTTACACGCAATGGCTTCATATTTGTTACAAAACTAGAAAAGAATATTTTTGAGATATAACACTATTCTCAACAAACACTGTTAACTATTTCCTGTCCTGGACTATTTTTCCACCCATGCTTTGTATAGGCACACATACATACCTTTGCCATTACACTGTTTTTAAAAATTATTATTACATTTTTATTTTTAATTATTGAAATTATTTTTTAATAATTATATTTCATTTTTATATAGAAATATTTTCATTGTTGTTTCAAATTTCCTAACTCGGTTTGGCATATTTTACTTACTTTTGAAACCCCCCTAAGGGCTTGTGGTTTATAGCACATAACGCGAATTTGAAGCTGAGATAATAGAATTAAAATTGACGTAATAGTAAAATGGTTTCAAAGTTATAGTCAGTGTTTCAGTGTTCACCTCTCATTTTTGGGTTATGCTGAATAATACCACACATTATTCTACAATGTTCCATTGTGCTAAGAAAAAAAATCCCTATGCTTTAGAAGAGCCCTAATACGTTTCTCTGCAAATCATTTATTGCTCTTATTTTAATATAAATTGTGATTTAATTTCAAAATAGCATTCTTTAAAGTGAAATATTTCTGGACCATAAGATTAAAATCTCATAAGCAACTCAATTTTTCTGGAACTGGCATCATGAGCAAAATAAAGCAAACCACATAAAATTATGTAAAGTATGTGTTTGCATATGCATATTGTAGAGCAAGTTATATAATATATTACTGACCTTAACTGAAGAAAAATTACACAGTGAACAAGATACTAATTGGATTCCCAGAGGGGAGAAAGGATCTACCTCAAAATACAGGCAACCATTTTTATGTTTGATTGTACCTTTGGAAAAGTGAACCATTACCTGAGCAAGAATGGGGAAGCCAAGGTTCCTGCATCCGTTACAAGGAGTCAGCGCTTCCCAGAG